TTTTTTTTTTTTTTTAAGTTGACTGATCTATCTTCTACTGCTCTTGTCTTCTAGGTTCCAAGTAATCCTATGGTTGAAAAGATCGATATTGAAGATCTAGGTACGCCTTAGTAATAATAATCTTGTTTGTTGTTTCTTTACTGAAAGTTGTGAAGAATCGTCTCTGTTCGTGTAATTGTAGTTGTTTTTCAGTATAAACAAACTTCTAAAACTAGTGTTTTGACGAGTGTTTGACACTAAAAATATGAAATTTTGCACTGAACTTGTTATGTGTGTACACAAGTTTTCAAAATAGGAACTTAAAAATAAAAAAAACTTTTCTGAAGAAAGTACAGTTGAATTGATAGTGTGTGCTATCAATTTTTTCTAAATTTCTACAGTTAAAATTGAGAGTTTAAATTAACTTTTCGTCACTAAACTTGGTTAAATGTTTTAATACTGTTTGTAACTTTTGTCTAGAAAACATTTTATCAAGTTTATTTGAATTTTTCTATTAAACAGGAGGAAATGAGGAGCTGATGTTTGTAAAATTTTTTCAACATTTCCATTGTTATGACATCATTCCAATTAGTGCCAAGCTGGTAGTGTTTGATACTCAACTACTGGTAAGGAAACTTGGAATAAAAGTGTTCATGATATTGAAAACTTGTAGGAACATGATAAATCACAACTATAAAAAACCATAGTTAAGCCTGTTGAAAGTGTTAATGTTGATTTCAGAAATCAAACTCAACTTTCATTCAATGTGTTTTAATCAAATTGTTATATACTTATCACTTCGTGTACAGGCCCTTCAATATTTTTCTTTTGTTCACAAACTTTATCTTTTGTTTTGTATTCTTATTTTACTTTTGTAAGTCACCGAGTGATGTGTGGCAGCAAACATGTTAAAGAAGTTCAAGTTTCACGTGTAATTACCAAAACTTGTACACGATTTGTTTGGAATACTAAATTAAAATTACTCATCCAATATTGGACAAAAATAAACTTAATATTTCATATTTTCTTTCTCTCAGGTGAAAAGAGCTTTTTTTGCCCTAGTTGAAAATGGTAAGTACAAGTTTTTATTTTGATTGGATGGGAGGGGCTTAAAGTTGAAATATACCATTGGAAACAAACTGGTTCATTCGTGTGTCCACTTAATTCTTAGCTATAGTTTTTCCCCAGGAACTGAAATTGGAGGGGATGTTTGAATTTTCAGGAGAGTGAGGCATGAGGGTAAAGTTGGGCTATAAAGCACAATAGTAATAGCTGAAATGTTTCAGGACTATCTTATCGAGTAAATAAAGTTCGTAACTAACTTGCTGTTAGAAAGTCCACGGGGAGGGTGTAGTTAAATTACTGGATGTTTTAGTTTCAGTATGTCGGTAGCTTCAAATCTACTAGCTTGTTGACATTTCTTTTAGATTTCTAGAACTAACTACACGGTTCTAACTTGCTGTTAGAAAGTCCCCGGGGAGGGTGTAGTTAAATTACTGGATGTTTTAGTTTCAGTATGTCGGTAGCTTCAAATCTACTAGCTTGTTGACATTTCTTTTAGATTTCTAGAACTAACTACACGGTTCTAACTTGCTGTTAGAAAGTCCACGGGGAGGGTGTAGTTAAATTACTGGATGTTTTAGTTTCAGTATGTCGGTAGCTTCAAATCTACTAGCTTGTTGACATTTCTTTTAGATTTCTAGAACTAACTACACGGTTCTAACATAACCATATTTAAAATGGAGCTCTTTAATTTTCTTGCTAAGAAATTGTGTAGTATTGTTGTAGGCTTCTTTTTATTTTTGACTTGGTGTGATATAACAACTAAAGTTTCTTAAGTGCGGGAAATGATTTGAGTAACATAAGTTGGACTATAATATGATGTACCATGGAGTTGTTAAAGTTGTGTTCTTGAGTGAGTAAGATAAGGGCTAACATCTAGTCAAAGAAATACTGCTGTTGGTATTAAGTTGTCTGGATCATTTTTTAACTACAACCTAAACCCACACAATGATAGAACTTGTGTTTATTTAAGATGTTCTCTATTGTGTAATAGTAGTAAAGTTTTTGCTATTTGCAAATACACAATGAGTACCTGAAAAAAAAACAATCAAGTGCTTGTAGCACTGTAGTGTAGCTTATTTTTCTGAACTTCACATGCTGGGCTAATCTGTTTAACTGGTCAGTACTACAGTGATGGCTTAAATTTTGACCAGTTTTTACTTCTTTGAATTAAATATGCAATCAGTCTTGACTTTCAGAAATGCTAAGAGTTCTTACACCATTTGTAACGTTAAAGTAATCCATAGAAATGATGGCTGAGCAAGATTTCATCCTGGAATTGTGGTTCTCAAGAAATTAACTTGTCAATGGAAGTTTTATTGAACTAGATAACCATAACGTGGGAAGGAGGTCAGTTTCCTTAGCAACTGTTAAACTGGTGTGTGTGTGTGCAGGGGAGTTCTTTGAATTAATTCAGTTTTCAATAGTAAATACCATCATTGAACTTTCTTGGTGTCGGTAAAAATGCTTGATCAACATGTTAAATCCTCTGTTTTAACCATAGAAGTTAGATGTACTGGACTTGACAGGTTAAATCCTCTGTTTGTCATCATTAGGATGTACTGGACTTAACATGTTAAATCCTCTGTTTTAACCATAGAAGTTAGATGTACTGGACTTGACATGTTAAATCCTCTGTTTTAACCATAGAAGTTAGATGTACTGGACTTGGCAGGTTAAATCCTCTGTCATCATTAGGATGTACTGGACTTAACATGTTAAATCCTCTGTTTTAACCATAGAAGTTAGATGTACTGGACTTGGCAGGTTAAATCCTCTGTCTCATCATTAGGATGTACTGGACTTAACAGGTTAAATCCTCTGTTTTAACCATCATTAGGATGTACTGGACTTAACATGTTAAATCCTCTGTTTTAACCATAGAAGTTAGATGTACTGGACTTAACATGTTAAATCCTCTGTTTTAACCATAGAAGCTAGAGCTGCTCCGGAGCAGCTCTAACTCCTAGAAAAAAACAAAATAACAGCCATTATCACAAGGAATCGAGTCTATTTAATATATTAACAAAAATTATCAGTTCATTTTACATCCCCATCAAATGTTTTATTTTGTGAACACAATATTTTATCTATAGATATCCAAGTGTTTTACACAATAAAAGGAGCAGCTCTAACTCCTAGAAAAAAACAAAATAACAGCCATTATCACAAGGAATCGAGTCTATTTAATATATTAACAAAAATTATCAGTTCATTTTACATCCCCATCAAATGTTTTATTTTGTGAACACAATATTTTATCTATAGATATCCAAGTGTTTTACACAATAAAAACTATGGGATAGCACTAAACATCAATTTGTTGGTAAGACTTTAAGTTTGTGTACCTTAAGCTGAAGTTGCTTGCTTTTTCTTGTGGATTAATTTGTATATCTTAAATTGGTGATAACTATAATTGTACTTATCAGCTATTGTGATAGACTCGATACTGGCCTACCATCACTGTAAAGCAGAGTTAGGTCATCTTTAAGCCTGATTCATAAATTGCAGGTCTTTTAAAATAAAATGTATATATTTTGGAATATACATTTTTTTTTTTAATTTTTTTTTTTATTCCTATTAAATTGTTTGTATATGAACAAAAGTTTTATGAAATGTTAAACTGACTTTTAATTATTTACAGGAATTGTTAACAATAACAGACTTCATCCATATTCTAAGGACATATTACAAGTCACCTTTAGTAAGTACACAGTCAACATCTGTTCAAACTCTACTAGTGGCTATAAGATAATTTGAACGATCATTGCTTTGCAGGGGGGCTGACCAAACCTTGTGATGTAAACCCAGTAATATTAACAATGTATAACGAGAGTACGCAAGTGAAGATTGTATTCTGGTAGACTCGCTATACTTTTAATTAGCCAGTTTTACTGGATTATCTTTGTGGTACTTGTATGATTGTTAGGTTGATTTTAGTTGGAAGATCTTAGTTTGTGATTGTATATTGATCTGTTAGAAATCATTAAAAGTAAATCTTTAGTAAGAACCCTGTCTGCATCATTCTTTAGTGATAAAATTCCGTTGATTTAAGCTCCGTTCATCAGTTCTAAAACTTTTTCCATTGTTTTCCTGACCAAGTTTCTTTATGATTATAGGTTCATATGGAAGAATTAGAAGAACATAAGTTGGAGACTTGGAGAAGTGAGTTAAAATATTGTAGTTATCATTGTTGGAGAAGTGAGTTAAAATATTGTAGTTATCATTGTTGGAGAAGTGAGTTAAAATATTGTAGTTATCATTGTTGGAGAAGTGAGTTAAAATATTGTAGTTATCATTGTTGGAGAAGTGAGTTAAAATATTGTAGTTATCATTGTTGGAGAAGTGAGTTAAAATATTGTGATTGGTTTTCTTGCTAATATAAGGACGTAGTTATCCTTTCTTCACAAATAATCTGAGATGTATATAAATTCCAGAGATAATTTAGACCCACAGCTAAGACTCTTTCTAGGGCATGCAACAGGCATACGAGAAACCTTTCCTATTACTTACTACCTGCACTTGAACCCACAGTGACACTGTTGTATTTCTAGGTACACTTTACTGTGTACTTTATAAATTATTCAAAACCTTCTGGAGGAAATGCATGCTTCAATTAATTCAAAGCATCCTTAAGTACTTAAATGGTTTGATAATCTCTTTAATTTTCTAACTACCAGATAATCAAAGGCTGCACTTGTGTAGCGACACATTGATTAGATGGTTTTTAGACTGACTGATTTCTAATCAGACATTTTGAGGTATACTGGATCCTTGTGTATGTACAATCTAGGGTAAAGACTTCAGTGTTTGTTTATAAGCTGAAGAATATTTGATCCACAAAAACAAATAGAATCTGAACATGTTGTAAACTGGAGAATGCTGGTTATTGTTATAAAAACAATCTTAATGGCTTGTTTGTTAACAGATTATATTAAATTGTTAATTAGGAAGTTATGTAGGAAGCTGTAGATAATAAAAATAATGACCATAAAATTGTACTGAATAGCATGGTAAATAATTAATGTATAAACAATTTGTGTTGCTGAAGATTTTTCTGTCTTATTCTAATCTATTTCGTATATATAGTATTTTGGCTGGAAATTCTTGTCTACTTCAACCTAAAATTATTTATTTTCAAGATGTCTTGGAGACAAAAGTAAAGCCTCTGTATAGTATTGGACCTGAAGCAAGGTAAATAACCTTCTAGATAAGCTGATGTATATAATAACAAAAAAATTAAACCACTTTTAAGCTGAAATCGATGTAAAATTATGATTTTTTGACTTTGAATAAAGTTTCAAATTGCTACTCCCCGAGACCAGAGTATAGTGATGGTAAATTTGAAGTAGCTTCACTTTGTATGTACACTTAATTTGAACATCTACTTACTGTGTTGTTCCTAATCGCCTTCTACTTGAAATCCTAGTGAGGTGATGTTGGTTAAAACTTAATATCAGCAAGCATGTGGCTGGAGGTCATCATTCCTCCTTTTAATAATGTTGAATACCAGTAGGTAGAAATAGTTTTAATACTGAAAACTGTTGCGAGCTGAATACCAGTAGGTAGAGATAGTATTGATACTGAAAACTGTTGCGAGCTGAATACCGGTAGGTAGAGATAGTTTTGATACTGAAAACTGTTGCGAGCTTGCTAAGAGGCCATAACGCAAGCTTTAGTACCACCACTCAAGAACACAATAGGTGCTTGTCTACTGTAAATAACACGTCTGTTCTGCCAACAAGTTACTATAGCTATCACACCAACAAACAACTGACCCTTTCCAATCACGTCAATGTGTCTTGCACTGAAAAGTTTGTAATTATAACAATGCCACTATCAACTGATTGTGACACAATCATTATATGTTAAAAATATAAAGGTATCAAACTCAATTAAATGCTATAAAAATAAAATCATAATAAATAAAGTAAATGAACTTTTTGCCATGTTTGTTATTTATTACATGACCCATCTTCTCTCTTCTCCACAACTATTATTGTGAAACAAGTATTGTATTTTCTAGTCTCTTTGTTTTGTAAAAGTTAGGTTACAACTGAATAGTCACAATTTAGTTTCTAACCGCCTTTTATGCAGCCTTTATTTATAGCACAATCTTGTAGTTTAGTCGCATTTTATTAATTCTTAAAGAATCTCCACCCTGATTCCGTAGGCTTGTATAAAATGATGATTGATAATGTTGTTTTATCATTAGATAAGTTCCTTTAGATTATTTCGTAAACATCATGTCAACTCCAGAGCTTGTAATAAAATAACGTTTGTTTTTTAACATTTCATAAAGGCTCTGCATTAATATAGGCCTAACTTGCTTGCAGAACTTCCTTACTGATTGATGGATAACAAACACCGCATAGATCTGACTAACTGAATTACATACTTAGACACTAACTTACTATAAGTCACTAACAGCAACTGAAGTGAATGACTTAAGTGATTACCTCACTAATTTATATTTTTACATTTGATTCTACATAGTACAGGAAGCTTGTGGATCATGGCGTAATGATTAGATCCTTTTTAGTAAACAAATATCTGCATTAAAATGTTTAAAAATGTAGCTTATAACAACAGTTATTCTTTCTGAAATTCCTTTCTATGCACTGTTTAGAACCTGAAAGCCTAAATACAAAAAAAGATTTGATCACAATATTACCTTCATGATTTATAACTTTTAACTTTGTGTTATTCTTTTTAAACTAGCCTATACGAAGCCATAAAAACACTGATTCATGAGAAAGTTCACAGACTTCCCGTGATAGATCCTCTAACTGGAAATGTGCTGTATGTTCTGACACATAAACGAATCCTTAAGTTCCTCTTTCTCTACGTAAGTAATATTTGATGTATTCGATGATAGTGTTAATTTAATAGCAGGTTTACGTTAAGTTTATAATGAAATTAAGAACTTTAGGTTTAACAGTGAAAAAATAACTAAATTGGTATAAAACTAGTCCTAAATGAGAAACAAGAGATTTAAAACAAGAAGAAATTCTTTATGAAACAACTATGCCCCAATGACTTTGCACTTTAGTTGACCCCAATTTTGTTGACCTTTGACCCATTACATTAATGTTAATCAAGTCTAGAACTTTGCATGTAGTTTGGTCAAAATTCAACCATCCACTGTTAATATCCTGTCGAAAAGATGGAGATAAACAGAGTTTGGCAAACCGATAAGTCCCAATATTCTTCACAAAGCAGTGTAATCATTGATGGGGGGGGGGGGACTTTTCATTTTTGCTGTTTGCATTCTTTGAAGTTTTATTTTATCATAGTAAATTTTTGCTCCTTTCAGTAGGCAGGCTGAAATTACTGTTTCAATTAAACTATATGTACAAGCTGACCTTTAATTGCAAGATTGTATTTCAGTGTCCAGGTTTCCAAAACGTAGCGTTGACCTTGTAAATATTTCCACTTTTAACTCTTCATGATGTACTTGTAATATAAATCAGCTAGTTTTCTGAAGAGTGAAATGTTTAGGAACTTGTAATTTCAGCACAACATCTTGTCCAACTCGTTTTAAATTTTCTACATCTTATGGAAATCTTTTTGTTTTATAGATGTCTGACCTCCCAAGTCCAAGTTACCTCAGTAAAACTTTAAAGAATCTAAAAATTGGAACGTATGAAAACATTGCTACGGTATGTGTTTATAAACTTTAAAATGAAGTTTTAACATTTTAGTTATCCTAATAGTGTAAAAAGGTATAATGTGTTCAGTCTTAAAACAACTCGTACATTCAACAGATACCTTTAGCTTGTGAGTTAAGTTGAAGATTTTTCAAAACATCACTTAAAACTGTTGTTAAAAGGTTTTCATACAAGAAAAACTAGGTTTTTCTATTAGAATGAAATGATATAAATGTACAGTAACATTGGGTTTAAAAACATTTTAAATTGTATCTGGGTCATGATTTATCTTTAAATCCTTCATATGCAGGAATGAGATTAAAACATTAATTAACTTTTGAAGAAAAACTGGGTTAATTATTGTAGTTAATTTGATACATTTGTCTAACTAGTAATACAATTTTATAAAATCAAGATTAGAATGCACTGATTCGTTATTTAGGCACTATTGTTATAATTGATTTTGCACTGATTCGTTATTTAGGCACTATTGTTATAATTGATTTTGCACTGATTCGTTATTTAGGCACTATTGTTATAATTGATTTTGCACTGATTTCGTTATTTAGGCACTATTGTTATATTGATTTTGCACTGATTCGTTATTTAGGCACTATTGTTATAATTGATTTTGCTACTGATTAGTTATTTAAGGACACTATTGTTATAATTAGATTTTAGCTACTGATTACGTTATTTAAGGACT